TAAACACGGAGTGACAGCTTATACTTGCAAATATTGAAATATTTCGGTTGTTTCGGCAGTTTTTATTGAAATTTTTTTCAGCATAATCAGCAATATAATACCTTACTTCCCGTCACCCCCCGCGCGCATAAATTAAAAGCTGGAATTGCCAATTAGCAAACGTTTGCAGGGCAGAGTGAACCGAATGCGTAATTAGCCTATTGCATAATTTATGCATGGCATATAAATTAATTCGCTGGCGAAAGAACGCAATCTCCAAGTGCCCTCACAGGTATTTACCCTGCCGCGTCACACGAATTTCAATTCTAATTCAAGCTATTCCTTTAGTCTAAAGCACGGAATGAAAAGTCAACAACGGGTGCACTAAAGCTATCAAGCAGTAAGAAAAAATCCGGTGTAAATGAAGACGACCTATTATCAGAACTGATGTCGGATACAATTCAAAACAAACCAGTGAGCCAAGGCTCTGCATGGGATACAGACTGGAATGACATGAAGGATAGTTTTGTACAAGACGACAATTGGACGCAAAGTTTCTTTCAACAAGAAACTAAAACCAATATGGAGAAGGTTTGGTTTGCGCATGTTATTTCTGTATAGTTTTTTTGTGCTTGTCCGGTAGGTAGTATTTTTCTAGTTTTGTTTTACGGACTATTTTGCCCTTCCCCATTGTTGTTGCGCTTGAATCTTTCGACGTTTTCTCAAATCGCCCCCCGTTTGCCCACCTTTAGAAAATCATTTTGCGGAAACGAAATTTGCTTGCAAAAAATGCAGAAACAAAAAAAAAATGCAGAAAAAAAAATGCAGAAAGAAAAATGCAGAAACGTACTTCGTTTCCAAGATTTGATTTTTGTTGGGGAAACCACTGTTTTTTAATTCGCCCACCATCGAGAAACATGGCTAGTAAACAATGTTTCCCCATCATGTGTTTGCCATTTCGCCCAGGGCTTAGGGACCGGTCATTATTTATGGCGGGGGGTGGCACCGAAGAGAAAAAGGTTGGGTAAACAAAATTTTGAGGGAGTAAAAGGTTGGGTAAATGAAAAACAAAACAACTCAAGGGTTGGGTAATAAAAATTTATTGTCATTTCCAAAGCATGACCCACTGAAATACTGGAGACTGAAAAGCAATGTCAACAGTCATTTCTCAATACAATATGTGAATCAATCAGAGTCACTATCTTGATCATAGTTTGACAAAACAAATTGTGTTTCCAAAGAAAGTACATGTGCAGACAACATGAAACTTTAGACTGCAGAAAATTTCACAAGCCGTTATCAAACTCATGTCGCTGAAGTGATAAAGGACATGTATGACAACTGAATGGTATCCTTTTGTTAAGTTTTTGGCCAGGGGTGGGTATTTATTTTTTAATTGATATTTGAGGTTGGGTAATCA